CTTTTCTTTTCCATCTCAGACACAGAACCTGGAAGCCTTTTGTAGGTTTTCGCATACAGACAAAATTCTCTCTTGGACAAAGAGGGCTGAATGGCCTGCTGCGGTCATCCCTCGGATACAGGAACAGTCCTATGAATGAAAAGGCATTTGGAGAGCCACAAGATTCCTCAGACCCCTTTGGAGTTGCCTTACAGGACAGAGAAAGAAGGGAGACACAACCCTTAGCAAGTGAGGGAAGTGGAGAAGGTCCTTCTGCTGTCCAGCCTGGGAGCTGTGGGGACATCTGGGCAAGAACTGGGCAGAGGATCCTGGGGGAGGAAACCATCCGTCCAGACGTTCAGCCCCAGAACTTCAGGAGCGTCCAATACCAGGAGGCTGAGGGTCCCCGAGGACTTTGCAGCCATCTGTACTACTTTTGTCGTCGATGGTTGAGACCAGAAAAGCACACAAAGGCACAGATGCTGGACCTGGTTGTTCTGGAGAATTTCCTGGCGCTTCTGCCCCTGCAGATGGAGAGCTGGGTGCGGGACTGCAGAGCAGAGACCAGCTCCCAGGCGGTGGCCCTGGCGGAAGGCTTCCTCCTGAGCCAGGCAGAGGAGCAGAAGGAGCAGGTCAAGTTGCAGGTGAGAGACCTTCATTTTTGGAGCCCAGAAGGGGTCTGAGCGGAATAAATGATCTGCTTGAATTCCTAACCCCTCGTGACGAGAGTTTTCTGGCATTTGTAATATGTGGAGATGTTTCACTAATTCTTCTGGGACATTGTTGCATTATCCATTCTAGAAGATAGATTTGGAACAGCCATTCCTTTCTCACTTTCCAGCCTCCCTGATGGACACTGGAGGCTTTAAATGTGTGTTCAGAGAACAATACACTGCATGTTGTGGGATGTCTGTTAATTCTTCTTCTTTTCTCCTGCCTACTATTTCAAGTCCTTCGCTGTGGGCATCAGAGATCCTGAGGGAAGGAGGAATCCATCCAGTTCCCCTCAGGAGCTATTTTTCAGGAGGATCTCTCAGGAAGATCCAAGTGAGGACACAGGAGGTAACTGAAGGCCGTCCCATTCCCCAGAGAGATCCCAGCTGTCTCATCTTCTCTATGTCTTCTCTTCTCTAGAAT